AACAATGTCAGTCTGGCACACAGGGTGACCAAATGAAATGTGCTATAAAATGAGCATATCTGGAATTCAAATATACCATCGAAAAGCGCTCACCAAGATCTTTCTAATGAGCTATCTCTCGCTGGGAAGTTCGGTGAATTCTGCAAGTCACCGACAACACCACATTTTCTTTGGCGACACCCTGTATATAACAACTCCTTCGAAAGCCGATATATTATTTCATTCATTATCAGTGCCGTTGTTTGGATTTTCGGTTATTCTGGGGCCTGGGCAAACCAGAGGCCGTGGGCCTCTACTCAAGGAGTAATCACGCGGCTACTAAGGGACCATGGGCTCTCCCGGGAGGCCAGTGAACCTGGACCCCAGGGCGATTGCCCAATTCGCCCTGTGTGCGGCACTGTTCATTATCATAGGAAATTGGAGGGAGGGAGTTCACATCGGTAACTATATTACAATGGTAGTGATACTAGAACACTAATGGTCATTATACGTGAATATACTCAAGTTTAGTGAGGCCAAAAGACACCCGACTAGGCCTCTCGATAGACTCCTATACTGATACTTACCTGCTATAACAAAGGAATGCTGTGGGGCATTAAAAACGAGCAATGAGCGCGCACACGATTTGAAATCATTGTGGTATACTGGTAAACCATATTGTGCATCATAAGCCGTTCGAATTTCCCATGTAATAAATCCACATATACATACACATAAACTTATGAAAAGCACACCTTACTACTTTGACTTTTCAATCGTCCTCCGTCAGCTTTAAAGGCCGCAATCTTCGACGACAACTCCTCAAGTGCTGCCGAGTACCCCTCTTGATCAGCCGGAACCTCACATATTCCCTTCACTAGGGTAGGTGATACCACAACCTGAGCAAATCTCCCGAATCAATCAGCATCGTCACACTCGTACCTTATTGACGTATTCCTGCAGCTCCTTCTGAACCGACAATCTATGGTTCAGTTTATCGTTCATCACAGACGAGCTATGTTGCAAGGAACGAATCTCATCCGATACTCCTCTGAAATCAGCATATTCCCACGCAGTCAACTTCTAATGCCCATCATGGAACGCTTAGCTGTGCTCAAGATGAGATCATACGAGTATAAAATCAGAGGATTTCGAGACGTCTTTCTCACGTGTTAAGTCCAATGCCTACTAACTCTACGGGAAAAAATTACGCACATCGTGGGACACTTCGCTCCGCTGTTCTCACTACGAGACTATCTCAGCGCGGAATGTATGGATTCACGTGTTGATGCCAATATTCACTGACTCTACCGACTAACATAGCATGGGGAAAATGGTGCCCATCGTGCAACGCTTCGCTCCGCTGT